AAGCTCTTGGGCTTAAGGGATTCTTTTGCCTCAGCCTCCCAAGTAGCTGGGACTACAGGCACCTGCCACAATGCCTGGCTATTTTTTGTTGCAGTTGTCGTTGTTTAGCTGGCTTGGGCTGGGTTCGAACCTGCCAGCCCTGGTGTATGTGGCTGGTGCCATAACCACTGTGCTAAGGGCACTGAGACTTAGTAGTCTTGAACACTTGAGCTCCAGTGATCCACCCTCAGCCTCCCAGAGTGTCAGGATTATAGGCATGAGCCACTGCATTTGGCCTCATTTTCTTTTCTTTTTTTAAATTTTGAGACAGAGTCTCATTTTGTTACCCTCGGTAGAGTGCCATGGTATTGTAGCTCACCATAATCTCAAACTCTTGGGCTCAAGAGATCCTCTTATCTCAGCCTCCCAAGTAGCTGGGAGTATAGGCTGCCATAACACCTGGCTATTTTTGGAGATGGAGGGGTCTCACTCTTGTTCAGGCTGTCTGGAACTCCTTAGCTCAGGAGATTCATCCACCTAGGCCTTCCAGAGTGCTAGGATTACAGGTATGAGCCACCTAGCTGGCCCAGTTTTTCTATTTTTTAAGTAGAGACAGAGTCTTCCTTTAAGAGAATCACTTAAGCCCAGGAGTTTGAGGTTGCTGTGAGCTATGATGCCATAGCACTCTACCAAGGGTGACAAAGTGAGTCTCTGTCTCAAAAAATCAATCAAGCAATCAATCAATAAAATATATATGTTTTAAAAAGAGAGGGAAAAAGTAAAAATAACTAATATTATGGCAGGTGCAAGTAGTCTCAGCTACTCAGGAGGCTGAGGCAAGATAATCCTTGAGCCCAGGAGTTTGAGGATGCTGTGTGCTGTGATGTCATGGCATTCTATCCAGGGTGACAAAGTGAGATTCTGTTTAAAAAAAGAAGAAAGAAAAAAAAAAATAAAGCTTTGTCTAAGAATTTGGAATGAATGTTTTAAGTTAAGGAAATCTGTTAATTAGAAACAAACAATGAGATAGATGTAAGACTCAGTGATCTATTAAGTAAATGGTTATCTTGAAAGTGCGGTTTAAGCTTTGCCTCACGTAGCTCGAGGCCTGTTAATGAGGTACGAAGGAAATCTTCAAGAAGGGAGGGGAGTATAACCTCCCTTCTCAAGGCTAGCAACTCAGCTTTAGGGTATTTCTGGAATCACCTTGGCCAAGAGGGGGTCCATTTAGTCAGCTGGGGGGGGGGCTTAAGGTTTTATTTTAGTTCACAAAGTTGTGCCAATGACACTTTCCATTGTTAGACATAACAGCCCCTTAAAATTCCCATTTGCCATATTATTTATAGATTTTGACTGCCAGAGACTCAGCGCTCCTTTTCTCTTGGTAACCCCAAATTTCCTTTAAGGAAACCATCCCCTTCCATTCCCAGTCCTGGAGGCTGAGTAGAGCTCTATTCACATCAGAACACTGAATCCTCCAGACACAGAGACTGATTCAGCGAGGAGCCATGAGGCACACTCTGTTTAGAGGGGCACATGAAGCCTAGGATTTGTACAGGAGCTGAACTTGAACATGGGAGAATATTCATCTGTGGTTAAAGTTAAACAAGCCAGTAAATTCACACTTTTCCTTAACCAGTTTGGGTTGAGTTCCTGTGACTTGCAAGTGAGAAACTTTTCAGCATCTCCCTGTTTTGCTGTAGTAATAAATACTTGGTTTTGTTTGTTGCTTTATGGAAGTTAATACGCAGATTTAGCAGCAACTTTTTCTTTCTTTTTATCTTTCTTTTTTTTTTTTTTTTCTTAGAGCAGAGGAATTTACAGCTTTATTGGACAATAACTTGCTTCCTCTCAGCCACAAAGAAAAAAAGACCCAAACAAAAGTCCCTATGTTTTCTTGTATAACTTAAAATACATTATATCATTACTACATATTTATACTTCAATAAATCTTAATCTATAAAGCACATTTCTTATAATTAATTGTTATCAGAAAAACCTATAAACAAGTTCCATTCTTCCTCCCTTCTCCACCAGCTGGCCTTGCATTTATTACTATGCTTTTTAATAGGCTCATGCAAATCTCATCTTCCATTTTTCAATTTGATCCAAGCACCAGATATAACCAAAATCTCTGAATTATGAAATATTTGTATTGACATGGGTCATTCTCCACACAATGATGCCCATTATAAAAAACCCTTTTCTCATATTCTAACTTCCAGAGTTTTCCACTAAACAGTAGAACCACAGTACTTGGGATTCTCAGTCAAGGAGTATATAATCCTACTACTACAATGTATTACTTGAATACATTTTTTAAAATGTGTTAAGACTGAAAATTAAAAAAAATAGTTCCATCAATTCTGATAGTTAATAAACTAGTTAATAGTCTAGTTGTTTATTTTTTAAATAGTCCATTCAACTTAACATGTAGGTACAACCTCAATGCTACTAGAGATTGATTAGTTTTTTTAAGATTCACAAACCTCCAAACTGTGATAGAGTATCTTGGACTCACCTCTGAAGAATCCTGGAGAGCTGGCTAGCTCTTTGAGTTGAGTCTCTCCTCCCCCCGCCCCACCCCAATACAACGCCCTGGTAAGAGAACTATGGCTCTGGGAATCTCAGAGGTGACTACCGCCAGGAATGCTCAGCAAGGGGAAGAGGCTAATTCATGTGAAACAGCTTTGTACCAAACACCCTATGATTTACAGTGGAAGAAATACCTACCCCATTTATGGTAGGATTACAGTACCTAGCACAGTGCCTTATCGGTAGAAAATGTTTAATGATAAATGCATGGCTGTTTTTAAAGCCTGGTGTTCAACCCTTTTATACCAAAGGAATAAAAAATAGCAAACCTGATACTTGTTGTCTACTACCATGGAGTTTTCTAACATTAGGAAAGATAAAGGCAAAATAATGATAAATCAGATATTCAAGTCTTTTTCTAAAAGCCAAGAAAGATCATTACTCTTATGTTTACACTTGCCCTTCAATACTGCCGTTCACGACAAATTCTTCCTTAGTGTTATAATTTCCACCTTCATAGTTTTATATTGTTCAGACTTTCTACTTTTTAATGATATATAGGAGAACATTTTTATTAGTAAGGTACCTCCAACTTACAGATAGGATGAGTAGTTTTTGAGTTTTCCTGTACACAGATGACCGAATTTAGAAAAATCCTTGAGATATTTCAATTCTTAAACCAGAGTATTTGTATATGTTCCCCATTCACTTATTGATGTCTTATTACCACCACATCTTATCTGAGATCTTATGGCTTAGATTTTACTTTCAGGCTTTTAGCCATCCTTTATCTCCTATTTTTTTCAAATGCAGATTCAAATTCAATAAAAGGAAACAAAAGAATAAACTTTTAAAAGATGGTTTTAAAATTGTTTAAGATAGTTTTCAGACTTTGTAATTCCTATGTTGCCTTTTAACATAGAAGGGAATGTATCCTTATAAAGAGCATTTCAATGAACAACTCAGAAATAATTTGCCTAAAAATAAAAAATTTAAGAAAGGGATAAAGAATCAAGTAGCTCATTACTTGGAAAAATAATAGAGAATATAAACATTACACAGAAAATTTAGTCATTAACACCTGAATTAAGTTTAAATTTTCAGTTTCTAGGCAGGTATGACACCATTTCTTTTCAGATAAAATAATAATGGTTAAGTGAAGAATTTTTACATTTCCCAGTGGATCTTCGGACAGTGAATAGGGAAAAACCTATTCTGTATCATTTCATGTTTTTAATTTTGTCTTCATTTCTGAAGAAAAAGACCTGAGTGCTAATTTTCTTTTTTAATTCCTTAAACTTTCACAACATTCAGAAGTTTTTCTGCATTGTGTCTTCTCTGATGTCTAAAAAGATTGGAGCTTTGACTATAGGATTTCCCACACTGAACACATTCATAAGGTTTCTCCCCAGTATGTATTCTCTGGTGATTAATAAGCCCAGAATTCTGGCTAAAGGCTTTCCCACATTCAAGACATTTGTAAGGTTTTTCTCCAGTATGGACTCTCTGGTGTTGCACAAGGATGGAACTTCGGCTGAATGCTTTCCCACACTCAACACATCCGTAAGGTTTCTCCCCACTGTGAATTCTTTGATGAAGAATAAGGGCTGAGCCCTGACTGAAGTGTTTTCCACATTCATCACATATATGTTGTTTCTTTCGAGAGGGATTTCTCTTTCTTTCAAACCTGCCCTTGGGAAAACAGCCTTCTCCATATTTAAAAATCTGAGGAACACCCATATTGAGTATGCCAGGAGTTTCATGAGATTCTACTGCTGAAGGAGTCTCCTGCTTTGGCGCTAAAGCTCCATTTTCAGTCCTAGCATCATCATCACAGTGCCTGAGGGAATGGAGCTCCCAGGATGCCCATTTGAGCTGGTTCTCCACAGCATCAAGCTCAGAACTTGGTAACCCCTGAGCTTCTTCTTGAGATACTATCTCCTCTACTAGCACTTCCCGTTTTCGTCGACGGAGAGAAACCGGCTGTCCAGGGTCATCAAGTTCACTCTCCAAATCCTCTAGCACTGTCACTGCCTCCTCTCCATTCTCTGGATGATGATCGCGAACCCAAGTCTGTAGCTCCTTGGGTAGGATGGCAACAAACTGTTCCAGCACAACCAGCTCTAAGATTTGTTCTTTCGTGTGTGTCTCTGGCCTAAGCCATAGACGACAAAGTTCTCGGAGCTGGCTCACAGCTTCACGGGGCCCAGGTGAATCCTGGTATCCAAACTGCCTGAATCGCTGTCGAAAAACCTCTGGGTCAGGGAGATGGTTCCAAGGAATACTTGATCCCTCTTCACCATCAGGATCCTCCTCCAACTTTACTCTCAGAATTTTTTCATCTTCATCTGGAGGCGGGATGATAAGTATTGAATCTTCTTCCACTGACTGTGCAGACATCCTGATTTATAATACTTCAAGAAGAGACAACAAAGGCAGAATATAAGCCTCCAGAAAATACCCCGTTTTCTTCACAGGCAACCCT